TGTGTCCTCTAAAAGCTCTTGTATATTACAGTTTATGTTTGTATCCTCTAAAAGCTCTTGTATATTACAGTTTATGTTTGTATCCTCTAAAAGCTCTTGTATGTTACTCTTTATGTTTGTGTCCTCTAAAAGCTCTTGTATATTACATTTTATGTTTGTATCCTCTAAAAGCTCTTGTATATTACATTTTATGTTTGTATCCTCTAAAAGCTCTTGTATATTACAGTTTGTTTGTATCCTCTAAAAGCTCTTGTATATTACATTCTATGTTTGTATCCTCTAAAAGCTCTTGTGTGTTACAGTTTATGTTTGTATCCTCTAAAAGCTCTTGTATATTACAGTTTATGTTTGTATCCTCTAAAAGCTCTTGCATATTACATTTTATGTTTGTATCCTCTAAAAGAGAGCTTTTAGAGGATACAAACAAACTAATATACAAGAGCTTTTAGACGATACAAACATAAAATGTAATATACAAGAGCTTTTAGAGGATACAAACATAAACTGTAATATACAAGAGCTTTTAGAGGATACAAACATAAAATGTAATACACAAGAAAGAGCTTTTAGAGGATACAAACATAAACTGTAATATACAAGAATACAAACATAAAGAGTAACATACAAGAGCTTTTAGAGGATACAAACATAAAATGTAATATACAAGAGCTTTTAGAGGATACAAACATAAACTGTAATATACACAAGAGCTTTTAGAGGATATTACAGTTTATGTTTGTATCCTATAAAAGCTGTTGCATATTACTTCTTAGATTCTCTTTTTAGTCCTGATTTGAATGTTGTCTCGTGTTTGATTGCCTATCAACATGTATATAGTTTTGTGAGTATGTTGAGTGGATCCATTGCTTCTAAAAAATACACTGAAGTGTTATGGTAGAATAAGTATGAAACATAAACTTCATGTTGACAATAATAATTTTAATGTTGAGAAAAAGGAGCATCAGTGTAACTTTACCCCTCCCCCCTTCAGGGGTACATTTAATTAATTAACAATGTTATTTAAAACATATGCATGATAACGCACACACACACTCATAACTTTTTTTTAGAGTTAAAGACTTGTATTTATTTTCTAACCAAACTGTTAGTGCTACTCTACTCTGTTTTGTTTTTAAGTTATTATAATGTTTACTTAATCAGTAATTTTATGTTAAAAGCGCTATGCTTGGAAAGGTGAATGTTACATAAAGATTTGTTTTGTTAAGTCTGTTGCACTTCTATTTAGTTTACCACAATAAGGTGCTCTTGCAACACAAGCTTATTGTATAACCACTTGAGTATTGCAAGTAGCATCAAATATATGTTTGTAAACAACATTCACTTTTAATGTAAAATATTAAAACATGATGAACAACACAACCACAGAAGTAACAAATAACAACACGTTCAATGAACCTTCCAGAATATACACATTCCATCTTCAGTAAATTCCTGCAGTAAACACAAAACTGTAATTACAAACAATAACCTGAATATTGCATAGAAGTTTATGTACTATGATAAACAATTGTAAAGACTCAAAGGAGCTGGAGATTGTAAGAACCAATTAGTGAGCATGGATATAGACCCTTGCTAAATAAATCAGTAGATGTATCTATATAGTTAATGAGAAGGAATTAAAACAACTCAAATTCTGTTCAGTAATTATTTTGGCTTGGAAGATTTTGTTTGATAAGTAAATTCTCTTTAAGTAGAAGTTCCAAATATGGGCCCGTAGCATCCATTAGATATATTGTTATTCACCACTTCTGTGGTTGTATTGTTCATCATTAGATTGTTTTTCCACTCCAAAAGAAAACATGATTACTGTTCTATTTAATAGGTGACTGTTTTATTTCATTTATTTGGATTACACATAAAATAAAGTTTCATAAAATATAAACTAGTAATTATGATGATGTCATTAGCAAATTATCCAAATCAGTATTGTTGAAGGTTCGAACCTTCATTTGATAATACTTTCGAACTTTCAAAGGGTAAAATCTACTTTTCATTACAGCCCTATTTACAACGTGAATAAAATTATATTTATGGTCTGTCCATTCTCTTTGAGATTTTATGGAATTTTTCTTCAAATTTTGTACATTATAGTTTATATTTTTAATAGTTTTTGTTCCTTTTGACTAAAATAAATATTAAAAACAAGAAATAAAGTACTAACACAATCTTCTTTTTCTTGCCCTCGATTGCGAGGACAGTTAAGCCTGATTTTTTTAGTGATTATAGTAAAGCAATAAAC